CAGCCAGAGTCCGGTACCTCAGGGTTACGCGCCTGCCTCGTCTGCTGGGTACGCGACTGCCGCACCTGCTACGAGCGGAGAGCATCAGCAGGCCAACTTCCACGCCATAGACCCTGCACTCGCGCAGGCCGATCCTGGTCTTCAACAAAACCAACATTATAACGGTGTACACACCATGGATCCCGCCATGAGAGGGCCTCCAGGTGCCAACCCTTACCCACCTCCACCAGAGCCTATGAAAGGTGGGTACCCTGCTCCTCATCGTCTTATTAATCCTAACCCAGATTCAGGCAAGCGGTTGAATATGCAAGACCTCTTCGGAATATGTAACCACAGCCCGCCCGACGTTCCTCAGCGAACTTCACCAGTGCCGCGTGAACTTGACGATGAATTCTCCCGCATCTTCCTCAACGACTATTGTCAAGGCCTCGACGTCGTACTCGAAACCACCTGGTTCTCAGCTAACAACAATGCGCTCAATAGAGTTTTCAGCGACCGATACCTACATGAAGAGGCCGCCTTCTTTACCGAGACCATCAAGTACAAGGCTACCCAGGATGCTGATATGACGAGCATCTTTAGTCAAGAAGCTCGTCTTTTATGGCACCTGCTAAGCACTTGCAAGCATATGCTCCCGGCCACTAATGGCTCGCCGCCAGAGGGCGAGGATTTCCAAATGCGAGAAGCTAGAGCAAGACTCGACGTCCTGGAAGCTCTCCTCACAAATCAGAATTTGGAGTCTAACCCCACACGTCAACTCGAATATCCGTCCAACCTGGATGACGAGGCGAGGGCACAAGTCAGCTTCTGGCAACATCTTGGTGATTTCGTCCAATATTCCGATTCCGATATCGCACCGCCAGGAGCCGCAGACAACGCCTTGGGTATTCTGCGTACCGTCCTGCACATGCGCGAGGTGCGCGACGCCATCTACTCTATCGCCATCGCACGGCACTACGGTTCCCGCATCGGCGGGTTCCCCAATGCTCTGCCTACTCCCGTCGGCCAACCTCCTGAGAGCGACTTGAACAAGCTTCTCGTCGCCATGTCCTTTATCAGCCACGAGTCTCGATCTGCTACGCAACAGGTCCTTGCACGCATCTGTGACATGGCCATGTTCTCTTGGACTGCTTCGAGGATGCCAGGGGGTCCGGGCCAGGAGCGACCGGTTGGTGGTCCACTGCCGTACCCTCATCAATAGTGTTTGATGTATGGTGCGAAGTGTAGCGGAGGGTATGTGCATTGTTCCGATCTCGGCCGCGATCATTTTGATTGGGCTATCATATGGATTGGCAGTGATATTGTACCGCCTGCACATTATCCCGATGACAGGTATCATATGGATTGGCAGTGTGATTGTACCGCCTGCATAAAGGAGACGAACATGTTCGAGCTTTGGCTTGAACAGAAGAGGTTGGACAAGGAGAAGGGGACATCCGAGCTGGAACCCATTTTCGAGCTGAGTTCCATTGTTTTGCATTGAAGCGGGGGCGTTGTTTTATTGTTTTCTTAGCCATTGCCATTGCTTTGGCAATTTGCACTTTCGTTGATGACTGCTTCTATACTCCCCCCGACACACACTCTGTAACCCCGCACCTACGTTTTTACGATTCTTTGTTGCATCTACCGTGCGTTACGGAGCTGGTGGGTTTTCTTTCTTGTTTTCGTTTTGGGCAGGCATTCACATGCACAAGATATACCCGGTTCGTCGATCGTGTCCTGTTCATCTTATTCGTATACATGGCAGAACTCTATAAGTTCTTTGCTTTAATCAATTTGGTTCTTTGGACTGTTATGGAAGATGTGGAGACGGCCGTTACATTTATGGGGTTTAGAGATTGGATATGTAGGGAATCAGAGCTATCAATCGCATTATACTCTTGAGTCTACTATTGTTTGTCCTGAATGCGACTGCTGGTGTTCTTCAATTCGTTCCATGACATGCGAGACGGCTAAACAATGCCCCTGAGCATTAGTAGCATTCCACTCGCCTATCAGGTCCAAACCCCTTCTAGCAAACCTCAATGTAGACGTGACACGACATTATGCTCGGGAAATGAGCCGACACGGAAACCGTTCTCCGCTCGCGATCAGAAGCACCACGTCTGCCAGCCACCACCACCACCATCATCAGCCCTTCGTGTCATCATTACACAAGAACGGCGACTAAGCCGAGTGGTTCGCTTGTGGGCAGCTGCAGGATTTGTATCAGGTAGCACTAGGAGAGCGCAGGGCGATACAACATGCCCACTTTGTTGCACCATCATACACAAAACTCTGTGTTTGGCCATTCGGAGAATTCTCCTCGTTTTGGGGAAAGCAAGTGTGAGGATGACCATGATGATGATGCTCAAGAAGTGGTGTGACGGAAAGGGATTGGGTCGCAACATCAGCATACGAATAACTCGCCCAACCCAATATATGAGTGATGATCAGAGTTGCAGACTGTAGGGCTCCACTATATAAACGCTTTCTTAAAACGACGCGCGTTGTAAACTCGACAAGGTAACCTTTTGCCTTTGTTATCCGTCCTTGGTTGGCGAACCAAAGCGATACTCGAGTAATCTGATCACGATATGGTATGCTTGTCTTTCTCCCTTTCTCATGGCTTGAACTTTGCATATGCGGTGCACCAGCTTAGCAGCGCTAAAACGGTTACGCCTTCCTTATCAGGTCAACGCATTACCATTGGTTTGGACGACACAATCGGCACTTCTTCTCGGCTCGTCGATTCGTATCATGTAGTACGTTACTGTCATGCTTGTAGCACACCAGCTGACGTTGCTGGAGGTCTGGTAAAACGCCTCCGGTTTACAGAGTCTGTGCACGGGGAGATGTCTAGTTGAATAGATCGATGTGTCGTTGTGGAAGGAGGGAACGTTAGCCGATCAGCCAACACGCCGTCTTAGTCTCAATAGTACACAGCCACGCGAAGGTCATGCTTTTGCATTGCGCCTATGGTATTGCCACTCTCACAGTTGTGAACTTTTGAATTCCTGTCCAGCCTATCGAACCCAACGCTCTCGACCCGCACAACTGGAACGCAAACCATCCTACGGTACTCGGTGGGATTTGCTGAAGAGGCTCACGCTCGACTGAAAACCTATCGTTTCTTGTGAGCAGTTTCTTGCTAGGCCAGGTCTGGGATACGCACATCCTCTGGTACAGTATATTCTTGGAGTTTTGCCTTGTCCGACCATTCTTTACAGTCATGGTAGTATCTATTACCCTCAAACTTGTACCACCATCGGTGACAGGTCGCTTCAAGTCGCTTATTCATGGACACTTGACGCGTTTCTGACTCATAGCCCACAGACGTGATACAATGAGTCCCAGCGTCCACTTGAAGGCCACGCGATCTGGCCATGGCTTCATACTCAAGAACTCTCTCCCATATACATTCCACGAAAGATCTAAGGCCAGACGTTTCAAGGTCCGTGAAAGCCATGGCTTTTGCGAGGCTCCACGATGACTCTAGGCTGGTTTTGAAGTCCCACTCGACACGATGTAATTGGTAACCACTATCAGAAGGTTCATGTCTCATATACCAGTATTCCCTTATCATCGACATGACCGCGTCAAGAAATACCTGGTGTACCGACTTCGTATAGTCAATTTCAACCCGGCTTGATGGTTGGACTAGAGCCATAAAGCCGTAAACTTTATCCCGTGGATCCTGGCACTTCTTATCACAGAAAAGGCCGACATTGATTGTAGTATAGTCCGTCACACTCACATCAGTATGACGGTCAAAGATATGCCGCCATAACTGCGCATCCACCATTCGACTGGTGCTCGGCAATATTTTTTGGATCTTGTCCCCAAGTTCTTCTCTTTTCGTGCGTAGGGACTCCCATGAGATCCACACGTTTCCTTCGACTAGAACACGTACGTGCTTATTGAGCAACAATTCCTGTACGATCCAAAGTCGGTCAAAGTATGGATTATGCAGCAGGGCGAGCGTTGGCCAATCGAAAGACTTTTTGTCGTCACTGGAACCATCTTCGCGGCGGCCATGCTTAAGATATGATTGAACCCCGTTATTGAAGTCCAAAGCTGCCTGTTTCGTCGAGGGAGTACATGTCGTTTCATTCTGCAGCCAGACCAGCACGTAATCACATCGGCTGTAAATCTTCCACATCATCTTGACTTGATGGCTTCGCTCTTCAGAGTTCGACTGGTCGATGCTGATCTGATCGATCCATAGGTAATCGTCCGCCTCATAAGTTCTCAGAAAGTTGAGAAGGTTCATCCGAATCTCGAACTCTTTGCTATCAATGCTGACAGATCCAGTCGGGCGTTCGTCTCCCCATGTATACGATAGAGCAACATACGATGGAGCACTCTCGGAGTCGAAAGTTATAAGACAATAGTCCACAGTATGTTCGGATGAGTTGCGCAGTTTGAGTAGACGAATCTGGTGCTTTTCGGAATCGAGAGGCTGATGCTTGTAGAATCTGCCGACACAATTGGTATTGGCCTGTGCATAGGCCATTGCTCTATCACATGAGATGTGCCAAGAAATATATGGGGTAACCTGGCAGGGCCCTCACTCGGAGATAGAGAGGACCAGCCCGACGCATTCGCTAATGGCGGGAAGAAGCGTTCTGTAGGACTGAAAGACTTTCCAACTCGAGTAAGCAGAATGACAAGAGCTTTCCTACAAGAAGAGATTGTCGCTTTCCGATGTCTTCAAATACGTCCAGCCATGTGGAGGCTGTGCCCAAGACTCTAGACAACAAATGAGGCTGTGTAACAGTCAAGGCAGGTATTCGGCCAATAGCATCATTTACTCGCTTGGACAATCCTGCAGCCTGGCTGACACATCTTAGCCGAGCACCCCGCGTCAGGCTGCGTTGCGAACAGTCGCTTCTTTCGGTTTCACTGACCACCACATAACTTGGCAGTGAACCAAACAGTGCGGTTGATCACAAGACAGGGGAACTATGAAGAACATAAATCAGACTGCCCAACGCCATGGGAGAGGTTCCACAACGCCGATGAGGCGAGGTGATCATCTTTATGAGGCCCCAATACCGCGAAACTATCGTCTCTTGCCTACTACGAGCCAGCAAGCCAGCGATCGTTTTCAGGCCCTTCTCGGACCAATCGGTCGTTCCTTCCATGCTGCATATGAAAAGGTAGCATCAACGAGAAGGCGTTCCGTGGTTAAGCATTGCTAACCTGCGCAGATTGACGTGGCAATAAAGGAGACTCTCGAGGAAACCACGCAGTCTGTTCAGGAAACCCATCGAGAGCAAGATTCTACAGGCCAGTTAGCGGACCGCTTTACCATCACTGCCGAGGGCATAAAGCTTGCAGCAAGCACTACGTATGCCGGTGCCGCTGAAGGAACTACATTGGCCGATCCGAATTTCGCTACTACAGTGAACAGCTCTACGAAGAATTCTAGTGCAAGAGAACCCGTTTATAGAGAACTGCAAGGCGCAAATGATTTTCGGCTCATAAAGGTGTCCCCGAAGAATGGACAAGGCTTAGAGTGCAAGATTATCTACAGTTCGCTTCGCCATCCACCAGATTATATTGCGATTTCTTATGCATGGGGGGATGGCTTTGATAAGAGACAGATAGATTTGGAAGGCATTGAACGCGTTTCAGTCAACGCGAATCTTTACGATGCCCTAGTGGCTGTCCGCGAATCAGACAAGGCCATTCTCGTTTGGATAGACGGACTCTCAATTGACCAAGAGAACAAAATAGAACGCGCTAAGCAGGTCCAGTTGATGGACAAGATTTATCGACAGGCAACATCTGTTGCCATTTGGCTTGGACGTGAAGCGGATGATAGTGGGCGGGCGATACAACTGTTGATGAATTCGGTGGTCCCAGCGACAAGCGAATGGACCAGCCGTTTGGAACATCGCGACTTGAAAGCTTTGCTCTCTCTATTCAGGAGAAATTATTGGAGTCGGCTTTGGGTTGTACAGGAAGTATTTCATGCAAAGAGCAAGGTAGTCTACTGCGGCTCTTCTAAACTCCCCTGGTACCTACATAAGAAGGCATCAGATGCTCTTTGGCAACACGAAAGCGACCCTTACCTCTGGACAGGACCAAGTAGCTTTCCAGACGTTCAACGTCTCATGGTGTCAGGCCCGAACTCTCTGCTAGAAGTTTTACGAGCTTGCCGAAGGAAGCTAAGCGAGAACCCAAGGGATAAGATTTTCGGTGTGCTAGGCATACTCCCAAGGGATATACGCGAACGCCTACATGTGAGTTATGACACATCTGTCAAGTCTCTATACTTGGAAGTCGCCCAACTCATCGTCCGTTCCACACGTCGCCTTGATGTGATGCGCGAAACGATTCACTTTCCTGTTCAGGTCAGCTTTACCGACTTACCTACATGGTGTCCAGATTGGGCACAGGTTCCAGAAAACTCAGCTTTGTCTTCAGATAACTTCTCGGCTGCAAGCGACCGCGACGCGGAATACGAGTTCAAGGACGAATTCCGGAAGCTTGAAATCTCTGCCATCGAACTGGATATTATCGATACGACCGGTGTGGCGGTAGGCACTCTGTGCTCGTTACAAGATTATCTCATGGCCTTTCTGAACTGGCGGGTGCTGCTTCTTTCTCATTTCGACATTACGGAAAACGAAGAGAAGGACCATCCGCGCGTCGATGACTTCTGCAAAACGCTCTCACTAGGTCAGCCACTTGAGGAATTGAAGCACTCCTGGACAAGAGCCTGCTATTACATCTTCTCTTCATGGATTCAGGAGCGATTCCCACGTCTTCAGCTGGACCGCAAGTTCCAGCAACTAGGGGAGCCGGACAGCTTGCAAACCCATGAGCAACGATCATTCATTCAAAAATACTTTGGGGACAGGATGGTGCGTGCAATCTTTTACATCACTTTCTCTGCTGACGTAATGTAAAATCTACAGATGGGCAGAACCTTTTGCATCACGAGAGACGGATTAATGGGCATGGGAACGGGTTTCATGAGCCGCGAAGACATCGTCATTGTACCGCTTGGCTGTTCGACACCCATCATACTGCGTGCGGAAGGCGAAAGCGATGAGTATCGTTACGTTGGGGACGTCTATATCCATGGTTATATGCATGGCGAAGCTCTCGAAAGCGACAAGCCAGTCAACAAGTACAAGCTACACTGAAACGCCGATAGCTCATCAGATCTTCCTTTGGTGACTAGACGCTACATGTGGTGATTGTTGTTGCAGCCAGCTACTATCCTCGATCTAGCTCCGCAAATATGCGATGCTAGAAGATGTAGGAAAACTGATCTAACCTGGTCCACTGGTAGCTATGAGACTAGATAACAAGCTCTTCAGACACAAGAGCAACATGCACACAAAATCCATTTCACCCACCCACTTTTGTGTGGATATGTAAGTTCGGAAGATAGTCCCTAATGTGGACGGCACCTGCACGGAGTTTTGGGGAGTTGTATTGTACAAACCCGGTTAGCCAGCCTCGTACGTCACCAAGTTTCGAGACACTAAAGTTTCTACCGACGGGGCCAGATCAACGGCCGGAACTTGCGATTGTGTTCGGCTTTGACACTCGGTAACGCATGTCCGTCCAAACCGCCGTCTCGAAGTGCGGGCGATAGAAGGAGGGGTATGGGGATGATTGATTATCCATTTTAGTTTAGCTGGGCGGGGATTCGCTCGTACGAAGGTAGGTGGGACTAGCGCGCGTGCATTTCCGGCAGCTCATGCACTACCACGATCACTACCGCAGCATATCATGTACTATCGTCACGTACGATGTGTATCGGTTGCGCTAGCCGGCAAATTCGACTTGTACGATACGTACTTACTGTGAAGCTAGTGCCAGATCTTTGCTTGCTTACATCGCATTGCGCATCGTTCATTGTGTTCCGTGCTCACATATTAGCCTGCCGTGTTGTGAGTCGTAAAGCTTGAGTTGTTCTGTACGTTGCTTGTCTCGTTGATCGACTGCGTTGCTCGACTGATTCCCCCATGCCAGTGGTCCCAGGTTCTGAATACTTACATTTCGCGTTTCCAAGTTTGTGATCCGAACAGGTCTGAGCTCGGGAGGTGGGGGAAGCATGTGTCGCATAGGAAGCCACGAAGAAAGACCCGGGCTACATAATGAGGGTAGCCCCAGATTCCAATCCCAACACCGGGCAACCCATTTTTACGACTGCCTCTAGCACAATGACCTCTTCCAACAACAAGGACATGCGTCCGGCCCTACGCGCGCCGTACAAGACTGTGGATGGCGTGGAGATACCGACGGACATATACCTCCCAACTAAGGTGTCGCAGAGAGATGCGCCGGTGTTGATCATGTGTGTGTGTTTCCATCATCTTCCCACCCTTGAGAAAGTTCCCCGAAAAGAGACCTAAAGAGATTGAGAAAGTCGTGACCTGTAAAAGCTGGGGTGGATCACAATCATCATGTACCCTTCTAACTCATTCTCTCAAGACTCAGCTTAACCCACGTCCAAGCTGTCTGACTCTGCTCCAGGATTCACGGCGGTGCCTTCATGCTCGGCCATGCGGGCATAAACAATCGAGACCAGATCGCCGACTGCGTGGAGCGAGGTTGGATCGTTCTCTCGATCGAACATCGGCTTTGTCCGGGCGTGAATGTGCTGGAGGGGCCGATGGAGGATGTAAAGGATGTTTTAGGTTGGGCGCAGAACGGAGGTTTGGCGGAGGTCTTAAAAGAGAGCGAAAATGGGAAGAGTGTCCGCGCCGATGAGGGCAGGGTGATGGTTATGGGGACTAGCTCGGGGGGACATCTTGCGCTGTCTACGGTGAGAGACTTCTTCTTTTTTGGTCTGGCTTACTCAGTTGGCAATTATGCATGGGAGATGTGCGAGGAAACTGCAAGCTGTTCCCACAGGGAACATTCAAAGAAAATATCGAGCACAAAACTGACGAAAAGAAAAAAGGCCTGGACATCATCCACGCCACCCCTCGCGATCCTCGACTTCTATGGCGCAAAATCCTTTTCCTCCCCCTTCTGGACTCAGCCCATCCCCGAGATGCCCGCCGCCTTCCACGCGCCTCTACCCGCATCCGACGTCGCCGCCGTGCATGCCGAAAAAACAGTCTTCATAGGCGGCACCTCCCTCGAAGGCCAGCCCGCCGACCCAACCCATCCCAACCCGCAACAGCGCCAAGCCTTCGCCATGCACGCCATCGCCACAGGAAAAGTGCTGAATTCCATATGGCCCCGCTACCCTGCCGACCTGCAACTAATTGACCCGGTGCTCAAGGTGAGTTCGTCGTGGCCGCCAACGGCGATTGTGCATGGCACGGCGGACCAGACGATTCCGATCGCGATGAGTAAAGAGTTGGAGAAGAGATTAAGGGAGGCGGGGGTCAAGACAAGTTTATTTGAGGTTCAAGGGGAGCCTCATACGTTTGCTGGGAAGATGACGAAAGGAAGCGCGACGTGGGATAGTCAGAGGAGGGGGTTTGACTGGCTGGAAGAGAGGCTAGAGGAATCGTACGCAGTAAAATGAAGGGAGAAGCCTCTTTATATCAGTACGAAGTTGAGCATCAACATCCATCCACATCTCGAATTTCCCTTCTACATGTATCCTTTCCCCACCCTCTACCACTGTTCCCCATCCCCCAGCACCCGGTGCAACAAGACTCTCCCAAACTTGCTCTCCCCGGGACTCCTCGTACACCAGCCCACTCTATTACCCCTCCTTGAATCCCTCCAACCTCCCGCGTCTCCCACGACTTCCTCGCTCAAATCGCCTTGTCCCTCTGTAATTGGTCGACCCCTCCGATCAACAATCGTACATCCCCTCGTCCACTGCCCACTCGTCTCAACCCTGACATCTTCCTCTTTGAACTTCCACGCGCTATTGTTGGGACAGAGCGCGTACTATTAAGCGAAGAAAAGAAAAAGATAGTCAGCAAGCGTGTCACATGTGTTGAGGATAAGTTAAAAAAAGAACTTACCCAAATAGTCAGCGGGTCGTGTAGTTGAAGACCAGCTTTCGTAGCATCTTGCTGCGGATTCAAACTCGCATTCTTCTTGAACGTTGCATCGAGAAAAAGACTAGTCCATTCCGCCATGGGACTCCCTTTGATCGGCTTCAAATTGATATAATCTTCATACATGGCCTTGGGCAACACATGCAACTCGGTCGTGTCGAGCGGGAATAATTTGATCGTCAGCCTCTTGCTCAACTTCTCCGGATACGGAGGGAGCTGCTCTTTCTTGCCGTTGGAGATGACAGGTGGCATGGTGAGATGCGGGTTTTGAGACGTTAGTGCGAAGACGCGGGCTGATGCAATGGAGTCGGCGTAGGTATTGAACTCGGCGTCGGGTGTCATCTGGTTGCGCTTGTTTAGCGAATATCGAAGAGGGGTGTTGGGCTGTTTTATCAAGCCGAATGGTGGAACGGAAATGGAGAGGGTAGATGCGGAATAGATGAGGTGGAGAGGCGGCGGTGAACGCTATGAATAGCCTCAGTGAAGGGGAGGAGGAAGACGTGACGAAAAGAAAAAAGGACAAGAACTTACGTTTCCAGGCGCGTCGATAGCACCGCCCATGACAACCACCTCCTTGACTCTCAGGAACGTCTCCGGTTCCTTCGCGGCAGCGATGGCAAGGTTCGTTAGTGGTCCGACGGCTACAATGGTAATCGTACCCGGCTCGTTCTCCCTCAACAAGTCGAGCATGACTTCGTGTGCGGGTTTGAGCGACGGCGTAAAGAGCGAGTGCTTCTCCTTGACCTTCTGCAGCGCTGCAGCTTCTTCCGGCGCAAGATTCTTCGGCTGGGGCGTGAAGAGCGATTTCCACGTCTCTTCAGGCGAGAGATGGGGGTGCTGTTATGCATCAGCGAGAATACTACGAGGCGTTGGAATGGTAGGAAAAAGCTTACGCTATGATGTATACCTCCGAGTCCATCGACACCGTCTAAGATAGTATGTTAGTCTTTGGGTCGCGAACCAATCCCCTGAAGGAGCATGTCGTTCTTACGGAAGAAGTCTGCGACCATCATATGTTCCGCCAACGGCTCTTCAGCACCAACAGCAACTGTCATACACATCAGTAAGTTCTCCGTTCCACCGGCAGCGATTACAATCGCTCAAACCTACCAATAGGTTTCCTCGCATTCAACGTTTCAAACCCTTCTGGTCTCCCATTCTCCTTCCGCCACGCCCTCTCTTTCTCGATATAATGGAAAAGCGTGACCACGTTTCTCAGACAATTCTTCACCTCGACATTGCCAAAAGTCAGACTCAACATCAGTATATCCAGCTCCTCACTCTTAGCCGAGAAGGCTAGAAGCATGGCTAGGATGTCATCAATGCCCTGTTGTTATTCTCTTATTAGCCTCTGTTCTCTTCTTGTTGTTCTATCGTTGCTCTTTCTCCACGATCCTTGTCCACCGTCAACCGCCACTACAGTAGGTCTTCCCCCACCGACTTTTACCCCGCACTTTTTGGTTCGCAAGATGGAACTCACAGGGTCAGTGTCTATGATGATTTTGTTGGGTGCCATGGTTTCGGTATGCTCAGGTGCGGTCAAATTGAAAATGCTTTTGTTGTATCAATGTAGCGAATGTTGTTTGCTGCATGGAAGTCGCACACTCCGATACGTATGTACGATTAGATAACTAGCGGCCATGCACTACCCACTTGCATCCCTACACCAAACCACGCGTGGCAGGTGTACATTTCCCGCAAACGCGCAAACGCGGAGTTCACCGATAGCGCTCGACTCCACTCTGCAGTTGTGGATCCGCGAAATGTGTCCCATGTTACATCGAAAGGGAGTAGTTGCAAATGTGAAATCGAATCCAAGTGGACGGATATACATTTGCTTATATGTAAAAAGATTTCCCTTATAAAAAAGACAAGCGATTCATAACCCAATCGCCAGCAGGGGAACAAAACGCCGATTGGACCATATCTCTAACACGTTTGCCCTCCCAATCGCCTGGCAGAAGAGCCCTAGGCTGGGGATTTGAAACCTCCCTTTTCCTCCCAACTCCTAATTTGTCTCTGGTCTTGAACACCGCTTTTCCCACGTTTGTTGTGCGTATATACCGAATACAAGGCGACCGTTTTCGCTGCCCAAGCGTGTAGGCACGTGTCGTGATGCGTGAACATAGTCCAAATCTCGTTGCAATCTAGTAGACCTTCTTCTTCTCGTCGACAGAGAACTGTCCGGGGCCCATGTTGACCAGCAAGAGGAGACCGCCAACGATTGAAAGGATTTGGAAGAAGTCGTACTTGGCGAAATCCTTGTGGGGGTGGTGCGGGTGCAGCGTCCACCAGTTGTTGACATACAGGTTGAAGACGCTGAGGATAAGAACGAGCATGATGGCGCTGAACTTCGCCTTGAAACCTAGTGTAAAAAGTCAGCATATGCCTCTTGCATCTAGCAGATCGTAAATAGGAATATTGCTTACCGACAACAACCATGATGCAAGCCACAAGTCCCAGCAGACTAGCAATAATCCTCCAGAAACCCCAGTCACCACGGAACACGAATCCGACAAAAAGGAAGATAAGCAGCACACGTCCAGCAAGCTGGAAGTACATCTTCTTGTCCTTTTCATCGAGCTGAGGCAGACCAGCGGGCGCGAACTTCTTGCGAACCCACGAGTCACTCAAAACCATGAGCAGACCGCCCATGACGGACAAGTTGCGCAGGAAGAAGTTGAGATCAAAGACGAGTCCATAGCCAATTCCTTGCAAAACGACAACAGCCATGAGGCCCGCGACGCTGAATTCGGAGTATTTGCGGAAGATGACGCCGAAGGAGCAAACTATCATGAGGATGATGTTTGTGATGAGGAAGAGATGCGTTACGCCGTTCCAGACTGTAGAAGAGGAGACCGTGTTAGCAGTCCATCCACGCGGGAAGGGGAAGTGTGAGGGTCACGTACTATGGCGGTAGTCGTGGAGGTATGTGAGCTGATCGGTCCATTGCGTAACGATTCTAAGCGCATCTTCGAGGAAAGTAACAACGATGAGGAAGCGACCAATGCCAGGGAGGTATCTAGTATCGGTCGTGAGTTAGCCATGTTCTCAGACTCGCCAAGTCCTCGAGGCGGGCGGTGTGCGTGTGTGTAACACACCATCCTATGTACAGAGAGCAGTACTCACGGCTTGATGGGGTCGGCGACAGTGTCCAGCATGTCCTCGAGCTTGCTCGTCTGTGCTCTCAATTGATCGAGCGGACTGGGGTCATTCCTGCTGTCGTCGTTGCGCCCCGAATTGCCAAACGGGGACTGGTTGCCCAGGTGGTAGCCAGCTGTGCCGCGTATCTGCGCCATGGCTGGGTCGTGTAGTGTGGAAAGAGAACGAAAGACGAGGTGGGTGGGCGGCGGAGTTGTAGGTCAGAGCCCTGTAGTGATTTGGGCACTCCGAACAGGTGTCCTTGACGCGATTGAACTTCGGAAACGTCAGATTATGTCAGCCAGCTAGACCTATTGCGCGCGCGAAACCTTGCCCACCTGTAGTCTCACTACAACTCCTTCTGTTCCAGGCTAGTGTAGTAAATTGCAGGGTGCAACTATCAATTAGCAGGCTGCGCGTGATGGCCGCAGATATATATGTATATTGCGCCCGCCGTCGTGTGCGGTTCCCAAGGTTGAGGGTCGTTGCGCTCGTCCCTCGGTTCGCGCAACCTACTAGAATACCACTTTGAGGCCAGATTGCTGCAATCGACACTCTTACCTATGGCGTCAGAAATGTGAGTCGGTACGAAATAATCCCGGCCCAATTCTGAACTAGCTGATTCACGACTTGGCACGGGCTTCCGCTATTACAGTGGAGTGTGGATGTATTTATAGTATTCACCGCTGACTCTACAAATAATCAAGGGACGGTATCACAGGGCTCGCAATTGGCTCGCACATTGAGTTGTCAACCACAGTTTCTAACTCGATAGTTTTTTTCCTTTCCAGCATAGAGTCTGCGATCTGATGTAGTATTGAAGTACACGACGAGAACGCAAGAGAAGCTCTTGCAAATAACTATCAGATGCAACCCCCACACGCCGATTGCTTTTCCATTAACCTGGACAGCAAAGCAAAGTAGAGGAAGGAACCTACATCCGATGGTCCTGTTCCAACCATGCCCATGCTTACAAGTAGACAATTCCGCCGCCGTCGTATTGAGTTGTGCCCGCCCATCCGTCATGCCAAATATGATACCATCGTGATGAACATTGCCAACCATCGCATTGACACCAAGGTCTTCCCCGACAGAAATATCCACGTCGTCTGGGTACATGTATGTGTACCCAAGGTCTCGAGACTACTGCAGTCCATCCACCTCACATGACAGCCCAGTCATCGGCGTCATCGCCAGTCTTGGGGTTGAACTCCTCAGCAAGGATCTGGTACCTGGAGCTGGGGTTCTTGTTTTCCTTGATGACCTCAGTCGGCCTGACTGGCTTGGCGGACTGTTGTGGCTTCGTCTCAGTGACGTTGCTGAGCTCTTCGGCGAGTTCCTCGTTCACCGTCTTGCGCTTGGTCTTGCCACCCTTGGGGACCGTGGTCCAGGCGGAGTCTTCCATAGCCAGTCTCATCTGCTCTTCCTCCGAAGGGAGGTTGTTGAGAGGAGCGGAAGCCTTGGCAGCGCCGTTGGTGGGGGCAGTGGTTGTAGTAGCGGTCTGAGCGGGAGCCTCAAAGGTGTCAAGTAGCTGGCCAGTCGGAGCAGGCTTGGGAGGCTGGACGGCGCCGCGAGATGCCTTGGAAGACACCTCGGTCCAGGCGTTCGAGGCAGGGGGCTTGCTCTGACCAAGACCGTTCTTGGCGGGCTCACCGCGAGCCTCACGAGCGACGCGACGCTGCTTCTCCTCGAGAGCCTTGCGCGCCTTCTCCTCTTCCTCGCGCGCGGCCTTGGCCTCTTCGGCCTTCTTCCTGTTCTGGCGCTGCTTCTTGGACTCGGTCGCAACCTCTGCCTTTTGTGTCTGCGCCTTGACTGACTTGGCTGGCTTCTCCGAGGGCTTGATGCTCATGACGGCGGGGGAGACGGGTCGCTCGCCGAGCATATCGGAGACATCCTTGCCGCTTGGGGCCTTGTTTGTGTAGGCGGCGGGCGGTGCGACCTCCTCGTCGGCAGCTTGCTTGGGCGCGGCTTGCTTCAGGGTATCGGCAGCCTTGTTTCCAGCATCCTGAACAGCCGTCTTGACAGACTTGCGGGGCGCCTTGGTAGTCTTCTTTGCGGCCTTGGGCTTCTTCTCCGAGCTGTCCCAGTTGACCGCCTCCTTGAGCGACGAGGTTGTGGACTTGCCCGTGGTTGATCGTCCTCGCACATCGGCGGTGTTGCCTTGGTGCATGTAGTACCAGTAGACAGCGCCTCCAATGGCCAGGAATACGGCCCAGCTCATCCACGGCTCCATGATGTAAGAGGTGGATGTGTGTGCGTCGACGTGTTCAACGATTCGAGGGTGCGGCGGTGACTACTACACAAGGTCCAATGTCAACGCTGTACGGCAATGCAACAGCTGGCAGAGCAAACCGCCAGAGGATGACGGAGTTGGGGGAGGCGGAGCAAGGAGTACTGAACAAAAGGGGCTTACAGGTAATTAGTTTTGCCTTGGCCCGGGCGTCGTAATGGTGGTGAAGAGACGCGTCGCACAGGCTGCTTTGCTCGACGGCTTCAATGGCGTTGCGAGAAGAGGCCAGGTAAAGGTGTTGGAACCGCTTCGGGAGCTACGCAACCGTCGAGTGCAACCACGGAATCGCGCACTTGAGATTGGCGCCGCGCTTCTGAGGGAATCTGTCTTGGTCCACGTGCTACACCTTCACATCGACTTGGGTGTGTCGGAGCCAACAATGCAGGACGAGAGGAAGGAGAATTGCTGGACGTGGCAGGGTGAAGGTGCGAGTGGTAGTGAGCTTAGGAGTGCTTCCCCGTTCGGGATGCCGCTAAGCAGGGGTGAGTTGAGGCGCTGCGGCGGGTAGGATGCATCACACAAGGCGGATGATTATATTTCCTCTATGCAGTCATGACATCAATTCCCTTCTCTGTCTATCTTGTCGCGTCGCACACTTGTGTTCGTCCATCACTACTCAATGGCTCTATCTGCTCCCACGTGCAACTTGAAAAGGACACGAAGCATCAAGCACAGGCTCGCTCGCGCGGAGGCGGAAGGCTACCTCCGACACCCCCGACCCCCGACGGCGGCCTCTAACGTTTTAAGCGGCTTGACACCAAGCCATTCACAAGCCATTCATCATCTGCCGCTGCACCATTGGAATCCCTTTCGATATTGCCCTGTCTCACGAGCTGCTTCCCTCTGTGTTTCTTGTGTGGCCCCCCTTGCTTCGT